GCAAGACTGTATTTTCAGAGTGTCATTTATCAAAATACTCAGTTCAGTTCAAGCCATATGGCTCTCAGTTTACAGCTCACAGTCTGTTTTTCTTTTCTTTTTTTACTTCCAAAGGCTTCTTTCTCCTCCCCCAAAAAAGGGAGGTCCAGCAATCCGAGTCCCAGCAAATGTATTATCCACAGAAAACAGAGTCCCACAGAGGCTGTTGTACTTTAGGCATGTCATGAGAAGACAAGACTTGCTGGAAAAGACAGCAATGCTAGGAAAAGTTGAAAGTAGCAGGATAAGAGACCAAATATGAAATGGATTGAGTCCACAGAGGATGCCATGGCCTTGCGTTTGCAAGAGCTGAGTAGGGCTGTTGATGAGAGGACATTTTGGAGAGCACTCCTTCATAGAGTCACCATCAGTTGGAGGCCTCTTGACATCACATAGCAGGAACAAGAACTGAAGCCTCCCATTAGGTGGTATAGATCAACTGGTATGATCTATATGATCTATGGTTCTGCAAAACAGAACTGAGTGGCACAACCGACTGGCTAATTAGTACAGAAGCAAGTTCAGTATGTGATAAAAGTGAATAATGCTTCACGGTAATGTGGTGGTACAGAGGTTTCCAAAGTGTGTACTGTAGCGCCCTATGGCCATTGTGGCACCTTGTGGCTCCCTGGTGCATCAGCAAGCCAGCCAGGAGCAATGCAGAAGCTTCGCTTTTTTTTTCTTATTTATTTTTTGCCGAGCCGGTGCTGCTGCTGCTCCTACTGCTGCTCTTCTGGCTCCAGTTCTGGCTCTTTCAGGCTTCTTTCCTCCTGCTCTGCCCCACAGCCCTCACTGCTCCTCTTGATGTGCCACCACAGAAATCACTGGGGTGGTGTGTATTTGTGTGTGTGAGAGGGTGTGTATTTGTGTGTGTGACCAAAGAAAAGGCTTTTTAGATTTTTTTTTCCTGGTTTTGACTAGTTTCCTATAAAATAGTTAATCTTCTTTGTAATCATTCTTTAAAAAATATTATATCTAATTATTTTCTCTTCATTTTTATGTTCACTGTTTCTACCAGGCAACATGAAGAAGCGCCTTTTGATGCCTAGCAAGGGTAAGACCTTGGCATTGTACTCGGTTTGTGCCAGAACAGTGTAACTTTTCTAGTTTCACCTGATGGATTTTCAAGTTTGCTTGCTCTTACCAGTCACTGCTCCTTTTGTGTTCTGTGTAAATATTGTTTGTGTAGTGTCCGTGTACATGATACTGTTTCATATTTTTGATCATTTTCATGTATAGTACTATAATAAATATAGTAGTATGTCTTATTCTGTTCCTTTCCCATACCATTAACATCCAGAAATAATGTGTGAATTTTCAGTTTAGATTTACAGTTTTTCATGGGAGTGTGTGACATTTTTGTGCTCAATTATGCAGCATATGTTTTTTGATTTAATCATAGCTGACAAGTGGAGACCCAGTTCCATACTTTCAATTAGTTTTGGAGCTGATGTAGACCAAAGAAATATAAAGAGAATATAAAGAAGATTGCTCCTGAAAAAGGCTTTGCCGAAACGCGTTGAGCCAGAGCTTTTTAACAACTCATTTAAAGAAATACAGAATAAAGAGCTTGTTTCTACTTTCTACATCCTGAGACTTCGTCTCTCATTTATAATCTGGACTGTAGAATATGACAGCCTGACTGCTGCTGGATAAAGCCACTGATTAATCAGCATGGAGGAGTGGTGCCAGCAGCAACCTACTTCTTATAGTGCTTGTGAATACTTGCTCCCAGCAGTAGTCGCCCATTAACAGCCATCACTACAAGACAGGGTCACTCCCAGGACAACAGTTGCTATGCAGAAAGATCAGGGAAACTCCCAGCCTCATCCTGCACTTTGATAGTAGCTTCCTGCTGTCATGTAAGCTGGCAAGAGGTGAGAAGGAGGCTGGTAGAGTTCACTTGTGCCAGGGGCCCATGTGTCAGTGAATCCTGGAGGATTGGAACTAGAAAAGCATCAGATTTGATGAGTCCTGGCAAATACTCCACTCTGTCTGATGGCACACTTGTTCAGATTTCCAGATTTTTAAGCTCTTGGTGTTTGAGTTTCACCCTTGCTTCACAGGAAGGGTGTTGATGCCTGGAGAATAGCTACAGTTTCCCCCCTTTACATGACATTGTAGATGTTATCCTATGCCTGTTCTGTAGCCTGATCAGTGTAATTCTTCTATGAGGGCTCTAGGGGAAGGGTTAATGCTTACAATGTGCAAGGCCTGCATTTGTGTGGGTGTGTGTATGTGTGCACGCGCACACCAGCTAACTTCCATAACATTCAGGCTTGTATAAAACGCACTGCAATATTTTCTCCTGATTGAAATGAAACAGAAAGATAGAAACAACCCTCACCCACATATTGCTAAGGCCATGCTCCCTCAGATTAAACCCCATTCCCCCACCCCTGTTTTCATATACATGCTGAGTAGCATGGGAGATAGGGTGAAATCTTGCAAGACCCCTCCACACAACTGCTGTGGAGCCAAGCAGGAATCTCTCAGTATCATTCATTGGAAATGACCTCACAGGTAGATGTAGAGCCACTGTAGTACATAATCTTCTGCTCCTAACCTGTTGAACATAATAGGAAGGAGGAAACCTTTAATGTGAAGAATAGCTGCTTGAACTTGATCCCTAAGACAATAGAAAGTGTGTATAGATGTTATGCGTTCAGAGACTGTTCTGAGTGGTGAAAATGATACATGTTTCACAAAATAGTCTGCCCCCCCACAAAAAAACACCCAGAACAATGAGTTTAACAAATTAGTTATGCATAAACTTTAATAGACCAACTTCCACTTTGTCAGATCCATGAACTGCTATCTTCAGTTGCCATATATATTTGGCTGTAGGAAAAAGAGTGTAAATGATGAAGTTAACTGCAAAAAGGTTTTGTCTGTGATAATGCAGTTAAATTATTGGCAGCAACAGCGATAACATAAACTTTATAGATCACGGAAGAGTCACCAAATTCATCTAGGTTATATGAACTACATGTACCCTAATTATGTAATTAATAGGTTCTATGAACTACATGTACCCTAATTATCTAAGAACTTTGTCTTAGGGGAGATAAAGAAGGTGTAAATTGTTTGTAGTCACTGATTTCCTGTATTATCCTTCTCTGTGAAGGAGAGAAATGACAACATTTTTAAAAAGACATTGGAAAAGAAGAAGCTTTACATGTAGTGATTCTAGCTCCAAACAAGAATATTGTAATATCATGTTGATCATATGGGGTCTGTGTGTCTTGAAATGTTTATATTTGAAATATGGAAAAGTGATGGTAACGAGCTTAGGCGTCAAAGCTGAACACAGCAGAAAATATTGTAGGTAGAAAACATTTAATTTGGCATAGTGGATTTAGACAACAGATTTACTTGCCTTTCACCCAAAAACCTCCAAACTGACTTGAAGGAAAACAAGACTTACAAGCAGCTTTTGAATTTTCATCTTCTTATGTTGAGAAATTTGGTGCAATGGGTAAGCATTTAATCAGCAGTAGTCATGGTGCCCGCTATGTTCTGACGTTCATACACTGTTTAAGAAGCTCAGCTCAATTGTGTTTGACAGCTAAACATTTAAACAGCTGATGTCTAGAATATCAGAAGGAATGCCTTCTCCAGTATGTTTTCTTTTGTTAATTGTTCGGTTGAGGGTTCCTCAGAGTTAATCTATGACAGAGGCTCTCACATTCTTTACAAGACTTCTACTAAAGGCCTATATATCAAAGACTCTGTTATCACAACATTTAACACCCACTGACTCTCTTACCAACCAGTCATAATTACTTGCAGTTCATTGGTATAAGTTTCAATATTGCAGTATGTTAGATAATTTAATGTATACTTTGTGTAACTGAGATATGGCACCTCAGTAACTATGCCAGTGAATGAGGTAAACATGTTTTAACATGTTTTAAAAATATTTCTAGGTGTTAGCTGTTTTAGTTTTTATAAGGAAAAATCATAAGGGCCAAGATACAAGAGTATACTTTGGCATACAATGCCAGCACAATTGGGATTTCCTTGCTGTCCTGGCACCAGAAAAACTGCTCAAGAGGGTTTCCCACCCACCTGCCACCCAAAGAGGCTTTTAAGATGCAAAAAGCAGGAGGATAAGGTGATCACCAGTTCTGTGGAAGGAAAGGGATCTTACAGAAGTATATCATTAGATTCTGACCAGAGAGTCTTGTGGTACAGTGGTGCCTCGCTAGACAGTTACCCCGCATGACCGTTTTTTCGCTAGACATTGGCTTTTTGCGATCGCTATAGCGATTTGCAAAACAGTGATTCTTATGGGGGAATTTCACTGGACAGTGTTTGGTCCCTGCTTCGCAAACTGATTTTCGCTAGACGACGATTTTGACAGCTCCCTCCGTGCTCGCAAACAGGTGTTTTCGAGACCTAAGCTTCGCAAGACAGCAATTTAAACAGCTGATCGGCGGTTTGCAAAGTGGCTTTCCTATGGCCGATCTTCGCTAGACAACGACGATTCTTCCCCATTGGAACGCATTAAACAGGTTTCAATGCATTCCAATGGGGAAATGCTCTTCGCTAGACAATGATTGTGCTAAACGGCGATTTCAGTGGAGCGGATTATCATCGTCTAGCAAGGCACCACTGTATCTTGAGGGCAGATTTGTTTGGCACACATTTTTGCTGTCATCAGATGCATCAGGTGAAGTTATCAGACAACATAGAAGACTTTTTTATTCAGATAAGCCATTGGTGGTTAGGCTGCTTTGCTGTGAAAGGAACTTTTCATCCAGGCAGGTGCCGCCTTCTGTTTTCCATATGATTTCCTTCTATCTGCTTTTAAAGGTGTTTGTTTTAATTCATCTGTTTCATATTTCTAACTGGTACAGTTTTATTCATTTTATTGCTGTACTACCTTAAATCCCACTTGGTATAAATTGAATAAACAAACGTCCAGATAGATAGCATGAGACAAGGAGAATTATGGCAAAGAAGTAAAGTGGTGAGACAGTAAAGTGATGAGGTAGTTCCTAGTCTAAGAGCAGTTATATGTGACACTAATACATGAAAAATACTGCTTTTTTTCTTATTAGTAACTTTGTTGTACTGAATTCCTTTCTTGTACCCAACTCCTTCATTTCTGCCATTCAGATCATTCTCTGTTGGCCATCTGTAGTAACATTTTATAGGAGTGGCATATATATATTATATGACATCTGTACTGCAAAATGAAAAGTTACTTCTTTTCCTTCAAACCTGCATGTAATATGAGATTAAATTAACATGTATATTGTTTAATTATTTAATAAGGTCAAGCCCCATTTCTCTTCATAAGTGAACTCAAAACATAAAAATCATAGTAGCACAAGTAGCATGTATCCAATACAGTGGTGTCCTGCATGACGACGATAATTTGTTCCATGAAAATCGCTGTTTAGCAAAATCATCGTCATGCGAAATGCGATTCCCCATTGGAATGCATGGAACCCCATTTAATGCGTTCCAATTGGGAAAATACCTCGTCGTCCAGCGAAGATTGCCCATAGGGAAGCCATTTTGCGAGCGCCAATCAGCTGTAAAAATGGCTGTCCTGGGAAGCATGGGTCTGGAAAACACAGGGCAGCCATTTTGCAAAGCTGACAATCAGCTGTAGAAATCGTATTGTGAATAAACGGTCCGCAAAGCACGGACCAAATCAACGTCCAGTGAAAATTGCCCATTGAAATCACTATTTTCCAAATTGCTATAGCAATCGCAAAACATCATCATTATGCGGATTCGTCATTTAGCAAGGTCGTCTTCTAGCGAGGTACCACTGTATAAGATTACAGAACATTAGTCATGGAGGACCAAGTCTAAAATAGGAACTCCAACAGAACAGTCTACTACAAATATTCTCCAGTAGTTTTGTTTTGACAAACTCATAGAATGTCATGACTTAATTTATTTATTTTAGGATGGTATCACATGCAGTGGGGCCACTAAAGAAAGGCCTTGTACAGTATATCTCAGTGGTTCCCAACCCTGGGTCCCCAAGATGTTCTTGAACTACAACTCCCTGAAATCCTGGCCACCACAGCT